TGCTTGGCAGTAGTCGACGAGGCGACAAAACTTGATTCAACACCAGTTCTCGACGTTAGCGCTACTTTGCCTAAGAACGAGCGAAAGAGGCTTCTTGAGCTACTGGCCGAATTCAAAGACTGCTTTTCGATAACATCAAGAGTTGGCCGCATGTCTCTAACCAAGCATCGGATAATTACCGAGGACATGGCGAGACCAATTCACCAAAACCCCTATGGCGTGGTGGCAAACGAACGCGAAGCGATACAAGAGCAAGTCGACAAAATGCTAGAAGATGACGTCATTCAGCCCTCAAAAAGCCCCTGGGCATCACCTGTAGTCCTCGTTAAAAAAAAGACGGCAGCCTGCGCTTCTGTGTATATTACCGAAAACTCAATCAGGTGACAAAGAGAGATGTGTATCCACTTCCTCGTATAGATGACTCTCTCGACAGGCTTCGGCATGCTCGTTAATTTTCATCGATGGACTTAAGGAGTGGGTATTGGCAAATCGAGGTAGGCCCAAGAGACCGCGAGAAGACTGCTTTTGTGACACCGGATGGCTTATATGAATTTAAAGTCTTGCCCTTTGGTTTATGTTCAGCGCCTGCAACCTTTCAAAGACTTATGGATACCGTACTTTCTGGGTTGAAGTGAAAAACCTGCTTGGTCTACCTTGATGGTGTCGTAGTTTTCGCCGCAACATTTGACCAGCACCTCAAAAGACTTGAGGCAGTTTTACAAGCCATACGGTCTGCCGGCTTGACGTTGAAGCCTGAAAAGTGCCACTTTTGCTATGAAGAGCTGCAATTTCTTGGCCACGTTGTCAGACACGCAGGCGTTCGTCCTGATCCTGAAAAGATCGCAGCTGTTGCGCAGTTCCCGGTGCCGACTGATGAGAAGGCTGTACGACGATTCCTCGGACTATGTGCGTATTATAGGCGATTCATCGCAGACTTCGCACGCATCGCATCACCAATAAACCGCCTCACCAGAGAAGACGTTGCTTTCTAATGGAGCAACGAAGAGGAAGCTGTTTTTAAGAACTTCCGCCAGCGACTACAGACGCCTCCAGTGCTTGCCCACTTTGATGAGAAAGCTCCAATGATGCTACACACTGATGCCAATAATATTGGTTTGGGAGCTCTGCTTGTGCAGCTGCAAGAGGACACAGAAAGAGTAATCGCCTATGCAAGCCAAACACTAACACGCGCCATACAAACAATACAGTTTGGTCTGTATGGTCTTTCACCCGAGCTTTGTATGTGCTAAGGTGATCCTGTCGCCTTGTTGGGCTTTACCCGCAAGGTCCGTGTTGGCCCCTACTGCAGGCTCGGCGACCCTACTCGTCGAGGCGGAAGGTGGCTCCCTTCCTCGAGAAGGACCAAGCCGGCTTTCAGCCGTGCCGGTTTCCGTAGGTACGTTTGGTTTGCGTGCAATGGCATTGGCCTCTGCACCAAACAGTCGTCCCGTAGACCCCACAGGACGGATTGTGTCTCACTGCGCCCTGGTGGTAAGGAGATGGGCCACGACCGCAAAGCGCCTCGCGCCGAGCGATAGCCCATCCGTCCTGAGGGGGTGTCGTCGCAGGCTCTCAGCCACGTGACAGTGTGAGGGCACGGGCACTTTGATTGCGGTGACTGAAGTTACCACGACCGAGGGCAGTCCCGCTGCCACGTTTTTGGGTACGTCCGCTTTGCGAGCGGTGTCGAGAGCCACCATGCCGAAGGGTATCCCCTGTGTCAAGTCTCGCTGGGCCCTAGCAGTCAGGAGACGGGCCGTGACCGCAGCGCACCCCACGCACTGCGATAGCCCACACTGCCAGAGTACGTTTACTTTGCGCGTCGCGACCGAAGCTGCTTCGCCGAAGGGTAGTCCCTTTGTCGGGCCTCCCTGGCTTGTACTCTGGGAGCCAGGCCGCGTCTGTTTGGCGCCGAACGGTGGCCCCCTTTCCAGTGCAAGGCCATCTGCCCGAAACAAAACGTCTCCCCAGACGACCCGGGGGGGGGGGGCAGTGCCGGGACAGACGTAGGATTATGATGGGATGATGAGTTAAGTTTGACTCTGGGACAAAGCGCTTCGGCGCCGCGTCTCCTTCCTGTCTGACAACGACACTAAGCAAACCGTGCGCAAGAGTACTGGAGGTAAGGCTCCGCGTAAGCAGCTTGCTACCAAAGCTGCTCGCAAGAGTACCCCTGCCACAGGCGGGGTGAAGAAAGCTCACCGTTACAGGCCTAGAACCGTGGCCCTGCGTGAAATTCGCCGATACCAGAAGTCGACCGAACTGCTGATCCGCAAGCTTCCTTTTCAGAGCCTGGTGCGGGAAATCGCTCAGGACTTCAAGACAGACCTCTGTTTCCAGAGTTCTGCCGTGATGGCCCTTCAGGAAGCTAGCGAGGCCAAGCTGGTTGTTCTTTTCGAAGACACCAACCTGTGCGCCATCCACGCTAAGCGCGTCACCAACATGCCAAAGAACATTCAGCTGGCTCGGCGCATTGGCGGTGAGCGCGCCTAAGTTGGGCTGCTCTCTGCGCTTTGGTCGACAGCATGCGACAGCAAATGATCAATGTGTCTGCTTTGGCTACGAGACCACTCCAGGCCACGTGCTCCGGCCGCACCCTCTTTGCTGTCTTGTTTTGTACGTTCGTAGCTGCGTTGTCTAGCGTGCGGAAGAAAGTAACGTCGGCGCGTCGTTATTACGAAGAAATGGCTCAGCTTTGACAATTCAAGATAAAAGTGTGTATCATTATGAGTAGACAGAGAAAAGGTAGGCTAGCTTCAGTGGGTGTGGGTGCAGCAGCCGTGCTGCGAATCTGTGATGTGTCAATTTTATTTATGTATTTACCTTTTTGCCCGCCGCTGGTAAGGCGTTTTTGAGGGCTTCTGTTTGCGCAACGCCATGGTGACATGTGCTGCTGGACCCCGGCGCAACTTTTGCATGCACTCGTAGGAGGTGATGAAGTTTTACCGAGAGCGGAAATAAACAATTGTATCGGGCCCGGGCCAGTTAGTAAGGATCCATCTTGCTAGGAAGTGCAGCTACTATTACACAGAACACACAACACAATCGCTTAACTTCAACTAAACGTCCCCTCACCCAAAATTAACAAAAAGACAGTCTGTCGAATGGCGGCAGTTACAAAATAGGACATATCCAAATCCTGCACTATCAAACATTATATATCCTGATATATACAAAACGGACAGGTGCAAGCGTTGCGACTCCCGAGCCACTCTGGAGCATGTGTTATGGAAATGTAGAGGGATTAGTACTCATAACAAGTATGCGGCCTCTGCTGACAGCCTTCGCGCGCGCTGGGAAGCCGCAATGCTCAGTTCCGTCCTCGAAGACCAAATGTGGGCCGTCCAGCGGGCCGAGGAAGCCGCCAGGATTCAAGGAGTCCTGGCCGTAACCTAGGCGGGGCCAATCGCCCACCCCATCTACTCGCCGGACTCTGAATGAAGTTCTTTCCTTCTCCTCCATCCCCCTTTTCGTTTTCCGTGCGGAAAACTGCGCATTTCAAAATGCTGACCAACGTCAACCGCTCAGTTACATGTGTATTGGTACACTGCAACGCTCGCTGTGCTGTCGTGTCGTCCATCACGTCACAAATCCAAGCAGAAATAAACAGTGCGCCCGCTTATTCCTTTAACGTAAGCTTCCCTCCATATTCTGAATGGAACGTACCACTCCTTTGTGCCTAGCTCAGGCGCATTTGCTCTTTCGAAGAGAACACAGTTTTGAGCTACACCGTGCAATATGTAAACGTCAAGCCGAGCAGTGTTGTTTGCCGGCCGGCCTGGCTATACGTTTCTTTCGTCGTTGCGTAAACGGAGCACTCAGTGCGAAACCAGGAAAATGACCATTCCTCCTGTCGAGCGCCTTTCTTTACCGACTTTCGTAGTTCTTTGTACACTATATAAATCACCTGCGTGTTACCCCTGTTATGCCTAGGCACAGCCTTTTTTTTCAATCGGGCTGTTGATACTTTGCGTTTGGACAATAATTAGCATGCAGTCCGCCGCCACGTTTTCCCTCTTCGACAGCTATTGTCACATCTGTCTATACATTCTCCCCTATCTTTTCTTGCATCAATGCTTCCACACATTTTTCACCGCGTCACGCACTTTATCTACATTCACTCCTCCTACAGTCTCGAAAAGGGCCTGCCCTGCGCTCTGAAGAAAGAAATGCCCCAATTTCGTAAACAAATGAATGGCGCGGCAGAGAAGGAACTCGGTGGTGTCCAGTGAATGTGGCTGTACACTTTACATCGGGCGACGGCTATCACCACCTAGCCATAATGCTTAGTTAACCAACAACTAGATTTATCTTTTTTTTTTCTTTAATTGGTGAAGTATAGGACTGGTACTTGGCAGTGAATGGTTTATTTTAACTCGTGCCTTGACTTTAGCCACCAATCAGTTAACCACCTTCTATAGTTATTTCTACCCGCTTAGTCAATTTTGCCCTCCCTGTCTTTAAACCCCGGTGCTTTGAAAAACTCTGCGCCATCATCCTGAACTATAGGGTGAAGCCCTTTACAGAACATTATCAAGAGTTGGGCAATTTCCTCCTCTCCGCATGAACTGCATACCGTGTCTACCCCTTCGTATTTGGCCCGACATGTCGGTAATGCTCGCGAAAGCGCTGCCGTGAGTTTCCTTTTCTATCACTTCTCTAGAACTGAACACACTCGAGTTCATTTTAACTTTGGAAAAGCGGCCACCTTCCCCCTTTTTTTTAATTACCACGCTCCTGATTCTGTTTTCCCTGCATTACCGTACTTGTGCCACTTTTCTCCATGCACTCGGTCTTCCCTAATTTACCTGTTCAACCTCCCCGAGCACACACGTCGACCGTGGCGCACCAACGCTCCTGCTAGCGGTCATCAACAGAGAGAAGAGGATGGACTTGGCGCCGAATCTCTCAGCACAACCCCTATGCCGACGCAAACAATTTGGGTGGCTCTGAGAAGAGCCGTTGATTTGTCGTTGCTCACTGTGGCCCACGACGCACGCCTACTTGGAGCTAGTGTACTTGGTGACGGCTTTTGTGCCCTCGCACACCGCGAGCTTGGCCAGCTCTCCGGGCAGCAGCAGGCGCACCGCGGTCTGGATCTCCCGGCTCGTGATGGTCGAGCGCGTGTTGTAGTGAGCAAGGCGTGACGACTCGGTGGCGATACGCTTGAAGATGTCGTTCACGAAGCTGTTCATGATGAACATGGCCTTGCTGGAGACGCCAGTGTCGGGGTGAACCTGCTTCAGCACCCTATAGATGTAGATGGAGAAGCTCTCCTTCCTGCGGCGCTTCTTTTTCTTGTCCGTGGCGCGCACACTCTTCTGCGCCTTGCCAGCCTTCTTGACGGTATTCCTAGATGGTTGCAGAGGCATGATTTTGCACAACACGAACGCAAGACGAGTGTCGAATGCGCCTGTCACCCCAACCAAGTGGCTTCGAAAAGAGAAAAAAGCCAGAAAAAGTGCAGTCCCGTTACTGTCTCTCTTAATCGAGGGCACCGCCACAGTTATGCGCAGGGAAGGGGGAATGGGAATTAAAGAGACAGAAAAGAAGAGGTAGGAGAAGGGTAGTGACAAGCATTCGATCACTCGCATCACTGATGCGTGCGCAAGAAAACAAACGCGGCACACGCAACCAACCGAAAGACCGCCGAGAAGCCGGGGTCGAAAAATGCGCCCGAGATGCGAAAGAAAAACACACACACACACACATCCGGACAGGCAGCAAGAAGTTTGGGCCGCTCCGCGACCACGAGGGAAGGGGAGAGAGAGTCTGGATGGATGGATGGATGGATGGATATGGCTGTACCCTTTAGATCGGGTGGTGGCTAGCGCCACCAAGCCGTAATACCTAATGAACCAAAAACTATATTTATTTTTTTTCTTAAAAAATGGTTTGAGGATTCGTACTTTGCAGTGAAGAGTTTAATTTTCACTCGTGCCTTGACTTTAGCCACCAATCAGATAACCTCCTTTTAGCTAAGTCTACCCACTTAAAGTTTATTTTGCCTTCCCGGTCCCTAAGCCCCAGTGCTTTGAAAAACTCTGCGCCATCATCCTGAACTATAGGGTGAAGCCCTTTACAGAACATTATCAAGTGTTCGGCAGTTTCTTCTTCCTCTCCACACGCACTGCATACTGTGTCTACCCCTTCGTATTTGGCCCGATGTGTCTTGGTTCGCAGTACTCCCACTCTGGCCTCAAACAGTAGAGAACTACCCCGAGTATTATCATAGATCCTTTCCTTCGCAATTTCCTGCTTAAACGTTCGATAGATCTCTAGTGCGGCCTTCTTAATCATGCCCATTCTCCACATGTCAGTCTCCGTTTCCTTCACTTTCTTCTTAACCGATAGTTCTTTTTGGTTTCGCCACCTGCTGTTTTCTAAGTATTTACCAGTCAACTTCCTGGTTCGCTTCCTCCATTTTGTATCGACATTCTTCATGTATAAGTAGCTGAAAACCTTCCTAGCCCAACGCTCTTCCCCCATTTCTCTCAATCGCTTCTCAAATTTTATCTTGCTGCTAGCTTCCCTGCCCTCAAATGAGGTCCATCCCATAACACCTTGTACTCCCTGATTTGGTGTATTCCCGTGAGCTCCTAAAGCAAGCCTACCTATTCCACGTTGCTTAATTTTTAATCTTGCTTGAACTTCTGATCTCATGCACAATACCGCATTGCCGAACGTCAGCCCAGGAACCATGACCCCTTTCCATATTCCTCTCACAACATCATACCTATTGTAATTCCACAGTGCCCTATTTTTCATGACTGCTGCATTCCTGTTACCTTTAGTCGTCACGTATATTTCTTGTTCCCTCAGATACTCGGTCCCATTGCTTATCCATACGCCCAGATATTTGTATTTATCTGTTATTTCTAGCGTGACCTCCTTTATTCTAAGCTCACTACCTTCGTTGTCATTGAAAATCATGACTGCTGATTTTTCCTTACTGAATCTAAAATCTAACCTATCTCCCTCATTACCGCAGATGTCCATCGATCTCTGCAAATCTTCCTTGTTGTTGGCCATTAGCACTATATCATCTGCGTACATTAATGCTGGTAGTGCCTGATCTATAAGCTTTTCTTGTTTGACTAAAGAGAGGTTGAAGCCCAGTCCACTTCCCTCTAATTTTGCCTCTAATACTTGTAGGTACATCAGGAATAATAAGGGCGACAGGGGGCACCCCTGCCTAAGCCCCCGTTGTACCTCTGCAGGATTGGATCCCTGTTTTTTCACTTTATAACTACCTTGTTACATTTATAGATACCCTTTAAAAAATTAGTGACTACATGTTCCACGCCTAGTGTGTCCAGTATTCCACACAATTCCTCTTGAACCACGCTATCGTACGTTCCCTTGATATCCAAAAATGCTAGCCACAGGGGCCTGTGTTCCTTTTCTGCTATTCCGATGCACTATGTCAGTGAGAACAGATTGTCTTCCAACCTCCTGTGTTTCCGAAACCCATTCTGCAGTTCCCCCAGCACCCCCTCATCCTCTATCAACGCCTGCAGTCTTTCCTTTATAATCTGCATCGCCAGCCTGTAGACCACTGATGTCACTGTTATAGGACGGTAGATGTTTATGTCAGCTTTGTCCCCCTTTCCTTTATAGATCATGCTCATCCTGCTAAGTTTCCATCCATCGGGAACTTCACCATCGATTATTATTGTGCTCACTGCCTCTCTCAAAGCCTGCTTAGGCTTCGGACCTAATGTCTCTATCAGCTTATTGGAATGCCATCTGGGCCTGTTGATGTACTACTTGGAACCCTTTTCTCAGCCCTTTCCCACTCTTGTTGTGAAAATGGAGCCATTGCACCTTTTGATTCGTCCTTGTCTATTGTGGAGCATAAAGTACTTCTTTGTTAAAATTTTTTTGTCATTTTTGTTCATATATATTTATTAGCTTCGTCCCCTTCTAGCCTAGCACCTTGGGCTGTAGTTATAAATTGCTGCTCTAGGCTCGTCTCATTTCTTAGGGAGTTTAGATGGTTCCAAAATTTCGCAGATGCCTTTCTATCTTTTTTATGTACTTCTGCCAGCCACTGAGCTCCCTTCTTTCTAATCTTTTCCTTGATTAGAAGGGATGCATCTCTTCTACAGCTTAGAAAGGTTGCCCATTTTTTTCCAACATCATCTGTCGGTTCACCCCGCTGCTTAGCATGTCTGCGTTCCCTAGAGGCTTCCTGACGTTTTGCTATGGCTCTTTTAACTTCCTCATCCCACCAACTTTTGGGTTTGTGTCTTCTTTTCCGGGGTGACTTGTCACGCGTCTTAGCAAGCTCTAGCTCAGAGTCTAATTAGATTCGTGTATGTCCACACTGTCTTATTATCCTCCGTGATTACTTTCTCAATTTGTTTGGTGGCTATTTCAATTTGCCTTTCTGGATAAAACTTTTCCTGCAGTTGCTCATCTTGTCTCCTTCCCACTTTCACTGCTCTTCCAAAACTTAGCTTGATACGTTTGTGATCGCTACCCAGACTTCTGCAGCCACCTTCCCCTATGTGCATTCCCCTGAGCTTATCATACATCCTATGTGACATCAGTGCATAATCTATCCTCGACTGAAGCCTTCCTACCTCCCATATATTTGCCCTTAACACTTCTCGGTACTGTTGCAAATTATCAGATCAAGCCTTTCACACATATCCATGATCATTTTGCCTGTCGGGTCAGTATACCCATCTATATCTTCTATGTGCATTCATGTCTCCGACGGCAGAGCGCCCCCATAGGGGAGGAAGAAAACAAAGAGAAGGGCCGTCAGGAAGCTCGGAGTGGCCTACGTAAGCAAAGTCACGTGGGACTCCGAGGAGGCGTGGCGCGCAGCGGGATATAAACAACGACACGTGCGTGCGTAACGGGCCTCTTTAGAGGCGCGTAAAAACGTGTGCGTCGCCAAAAAAAATTCAGCAGCGCATTGAACGCCCAGAGGAGTGTCGCAACGTTCGCCGATGGGAACAACACGTGTTCTGGACTCACCTGTGGCAGTCCGAGTTGCACGTAGGTGTTGCAGAGATGGTGACGAATGTCCGCGTATCCCGGGCACTGGCACAGGATATGTTCGACGGTCTCGTCTGCCGGACTCTGCACGCACGAAGGGCTGCCACTGCCACGCTGTTTAAAGAGCAGTTGCACTGTACGGCTGCATCCCGTACGAAGGCGCAGCAGGAAAGCTCGAGCACACCGACCGATTCCCGTTGACGGCAGGCGTGCGACAGGTTTGCCGGCTGCTGTGCGGGGGTCCGGGTGAAGAGCGCGGACGTGGCGTGTGATGATCTGCCGCACACATCGTAGCTGTGAATGAAGTTCGTTGCAGGTGTGGAGGGGTCGTGGACGTCCTTTGCTAGCGCGTCGTCTACCTCGTAGCCGCGCACTCCAACGTGTAAGGGCACCCACTGGAAGGACACGTCACACCCACTTCGGACGATCACAGTGAACTTGCGCGTGAGGCGCTGCGCGATCGAAGTGACATTTTCACCTTTCGCGAGGGTGAGGAGGGCCGCCCAAGAGTCGCAGAAGATGACGGCTGGAGCTCGGCGAGCTGATCAGCCACTAAGTTCAAAGCCACGAGCTCCGCGGTCGTCGATGTCGCCGGGAGTGGAAGACGGCACTTCCTCTCGCCTCGGAGCGCCGGAATGACGCTAGCAGCAGCAGCCGAGCCGTCCCCCTTCACCGAGCCGTCCATGTACAGATGGAGGTGGCCGGAGTACTGCTCCTCGATCATGGCGCAGGTTTCCTGTAGTATGGGCAGCCCGAGGTGTGTGCCATTTGCTGCGTATACCCGGAACCCTGATCGAAATGGGCAGCCGGGAGTCCCAGTGAGGAGGAATAGGCAGGAGTCCTGCGAAAGGGGCTCCGGTGATAAGGCTGGCATACTCCAGCAGGCTGCGGCTCATACCAGTGTCAGGCAGCGACAGGAGACGATGGACCAGTCAGTGCCTTGCCCCCTCGCGTCATGTGCATGCGCTCGACGTGACGCAGAGCACAAGCCTTGACTCTGAGTGAGAGGGGAAACTGGTTCGTTTCAACATAATTCAAGCCCACTGGTGACGTTCGAGGCAATCCAAAGAGACGGCGGATGATGCCGCGATGTGCCGTCTCGAGTGTCTCCCATTGCGTCGCACGCAGGGTGACAAAGGAGAACGCGTAGATGGCCCTGGCTCCGGCGACGGCGTTGTACATCCTCAGGGCAATATCAGGGGAACAGCTTTTGCCCCGCGCGGGGAGAGAGGATGCCGCTCCTGCGACTCTGCGACAGCTTAGTCGGTGGCTGGAAACTGCTGGCTTCCAGCTCAGGCGGTGATCAAGCGGGATGCCGAGGTATCGCACCGATCGTCGCCACGGCGGAACGCGTCCCCGG